TTACATTGACATATGTTTTGACAACTGCTGAATTCAAAGATGAAGTGGAAAGTGAGTTCAGGAAACATTCATTGAGGATACTGATAAAGCAGCAGGAGCAGTAAGTGATCACACCAAATACAGTGCAGAAAATAAGAACAAAGGCAGTATCATAAGAGTGATGAGCTTGTTACATGCAGCAAATTGTAAGATGTAGACGAAATCAGATGTCACACTGGATAAGAAAAATACTTGTATTTGAAAAATATCTGGTGGCCACCTGACTTTGAGGGCATGATTTCAATTAGCTCATTTGTTGGTTTTTTATTCTTGTGCTGGAATATGAGGTTTTGTTATAAAAGAAATTTAATCTGCTCAGAATACAGGATTTTAGAGATCAAATCCTAACAACATGCCAGAAATAACTCAGGCACTTAGGGTTTAGACAAGTTTCCAGTTTCATCTGGTAAAAGTGAAAACCTACAGTGGCACAAGTGCCACATCAATCATGTGGCCACTTTACAAGACTACCAATTAAATTGGAATATAACATGTCCTAGTAGGCATATGCACATACTAGCTTGCTCTGGTGGGCCATGATAAAGTTTATACACATGAATGCTAGGGCAGTCACTTCTTCCTCTTAATACCCAGTCACAGAATAAGTATGTAACTTACTGCAACTGCATGTAACAAATGGAAGCTGATACTAGAAATGCCTTAGCCCATGAGCAAAGAATAAAACAGCTTGAATTTGTTTAAAACACAACTCTTGCTCTCGCTATGAATTATTGTGAATTCATATATTCAATAAAACACACAGACTTACAAGCTTATGGCAAGCTATAACAACAATTATTTTGGTCCCTCTGATGAGAAAAGGAAAGAAAAAGAGCTTTTTTATTATTCATCAAAGATGCACCTTTGCACTGGACTAGAAAATGAGTTGCATGATGCGGAAAGATAAATTTGTTATTATTCATCACTCTCAGAAGACCGCACCTTTGCATAAGTGCTAGAAAGCACTTAGGTTATGTCTACGCCGCTCTGTCTCCGAGTTTCCACACCGTGGTGCCTGCGGCTGATATATCCCCATGCAGACTAGATCCAAGCATGCACCAGCTTAGCCACACACTACAGACAGAGAGAAAAGACCAGGCACACAGGCCAACCAGAGATGCAGTGTATGTCCGTGATTTTGTTCGGATCCAAACTATGTGAAAAATGGTGGTGTTATTTCTATGGATTTGCTACAAATAAAAAGCAAGGGTAGAAATTTAAAATGTATAGAAGTCAGTGTATGTTTTACCAATCTCATAAAAATTTATTTTAGAAGTAAGTCAAAAAGCATTGTAAAGGAATTCTAAAATATTCACCATATTGTCTGATTATCAATCTATATCCCATCACCTTTAATATAATTACAGGTTATAGAGGATGACAAGCATTTTCCACACTTCTTTTACAACAATTCTTCCAGAGTATCAGTTCTTCATTCTAGCCTATCTGTACACCCACAAGAGACCTGTTGACTACTAAGCATAAACAAATAACTTACATCTCAAACATATGTTACAATGAACTAAAAAACAAATCCTCATTCAGATGTGTTGCTGTTACATAGCTTCAGTCTGAATTTACACTCAAATCTACGGGAGCTTGGTGTAAGGTACAGATCTGAGATACTATCCTGAGTGTGTTATTTTGGTTTTGTTAGATGTAAATGATGCAAATCGAAAGTCTAACAAGGATATAAAAGCTCAGTATGTACAATATGTCCTCGAAACGCCCATTCATACTTAAATAATTTATAAGTAGCTGAGCAAAGATCATAACATCCTTAGCACAACAGGCTAGCAAAGTTACATGCTTTGCTCTGTGATCTGCTCCTCCAGCCTGCTAAAGCACTAAAGGTTATGTTTAATACAGAGAAAAACACAAGATGTCATAGGCAGGTATGAAATCCTGCGATCTCTGACTGTTGTGAATGCTGTACATCATTAAAAAGTTTGTATTTGAATCCAGTTAAAACACTTACCTGAATTCATAACTGTGATCAGGTTTAGAGAAATAATAGTTATGTAAAAAATACTTTGTCTACCAATCAGTAAAGATATGTCAACATGGAAATTTCATGGTTAGATAGCCTTTGGGTGTGAAAGAAACCACAAGAGTAGAGAAGACATTGTTCCTAAGATAATTACTCACACTTGCATAAATTAGCAACCTTCTTTTAATTATGTGCAGATCTGGCATACAGAAAAATGTTACGATGGTAGGCATGCTTGGCTCCCTAGGAAATCAGTGGTAAGGCAACTATTTACTTCAAAGATAAAAAGACTGGTTTCCTTAACACAAAAATTATTTATGTCCCCGGGTACAACCAGGATGTACAGTTGCTCACTGCTGATCACCTCTCTCTCCTGCAAAAATAAAATATTCTAGATAGAGCACAGTGTTCTGACCTTTTTTTCCTGCTTTTCCTTACCTTTGCACTTGTGACTTTACATATAAATACTGTCCTGCGTATTTGTTTTTTAAGCGCTGATTGTTGGCTTTTGTGGTTAGTAACCACACATGGAAGCTGCAGGGTCAAAGCACTGGTGGCCCTAGCCCACAGTACCCTACACAGTAATAACATTTCTCTTGAAACATTTTGGAGGTTTTTCATTATTATATGCACTTTCATTTTAGATGGTTAATAGTTCTAGTTTGATTTGTGACTTGGGGAAAAACATGAAGAGCATATGAAAAATAAATCATTTCTGTACATGATGTATTTTGTTATTTCCATTTAGAGTTTAATTCTCCTTTTGTAAAGTATGAAGTAGGATAATCCATATTACATGCCATTTTAATTGTCTTTGCTGAGGCTCATCTAAAATTCTAAAGCGTATCAGTTTAGCCTTTCTCCTGAAAATATAAGTATATTCATTAACCAGTACACATTAAAATTGTTTTTATTATTTAATTATTACATAATAATATATATCTCATTATGTAATAAAAACACATGCTGTCCTACAGAGAAATGACTCATTAAATGATCTTACATTCACAGAACCCACACCTAGGTTAGAAAATGCTGTAAGATTTTTTAAAAGGCTTAAAATACATAGAAATTACATAATAATTAAAACGAGTACATCTATAGTAAAGAAATACACTCTGGAAATACAAGTGTGTAAATTATTTTTAAATGCTTTATCTAATAGTATTTAGATTCCTATAGTACTTTTGCAACATAGCTTTAACTGTATTTTTAAATGGAAAAACAGAACACATAAGTGTATTTCTTGTGATCACAAAGCAAAGCATGGCAGAGACCAGAAAAAAACCCTACAATCTCTCATGTCTTGGGTTTGTCCTGCATCCAGACTGCCTTCTGGAAAAGAAGGATAATACTACATAATCCTTCAGGGCACCTGGAGCTGATTCTTTTCACTCAACAAATTGGTGCCACTAGCTTACTCAAAGTAACAAAAAGTGAAGAAAAAGTTTCATTTGAATAGCCCCAATGAAATTCCCATTATAAAAATGGTCAGCATATTAATTTTCATACAAATATAATGGCAGATTTCTAAATGAAATGCCTCATGTGTTTCCTAAAAAGATCATTGACTCCCCAAGGTTATGTACTTCATTAAGCACGAACCCTCAAATTTTAGTTTACGATTTAGATCTCATGATAAGAAACCTGAGAAATCACAGGATCACCTATTTAAAAGTACTGGGGCTCATACTCTGTTGCTTCACATCCACTCAATGTCAGTTTACAGAGCAAAGAATCAGGCCCTCTGCTTCACTTTGGTTTTTTTCTGGCTTATATGGCTTTTATAGGTTGCCATCACCAGTTCTGTTTGTATTTACATTTAGAGTACTTTCAACATTTATACACACTACTTAACCTCTAAGAGGTTAGTTTTCTTTTAAGTCATGTGTTACAGAGGGGGATTAGGATTTGTGGTAGGTGTCTAGACCTGAAGTTTCACTAGCTTCTTACATTTTGCTGCCTGGACCATTAAGGAAAACCTAATTAGAGGTGCAGTCATACAACACTAGGAGGTTCCCTGGAAATGGTAGAAATGATGAGAAGAGGAAGGTTCCTTCTGTGTGCACAAAGGGTTTTAAAGCCCACAGCGCAGCCTCTAACGGCATCAACCATGTAAGTGAATTCTCTCCAACAGCTTTATTTGAACCACAGAGCATGTTTATGGTCTAAATTTTTGTTAACTATTTTCCTAGACTACAGGAGACACAGTGAGCATTCAGAAATTGAATGACTTCACTTCCGAACTAATCCAGTTAAGCGTCGAAGGTAGGAATACAGCAAAGGAGGTTCAAACCACCCACCATGCAACTCGACACTGCAAGACTCGCTTTCTGCTGCAACACCCAGGGAAAGCACTCCAAAGATTTATTTTTAAAAAAAAAAAAAAAAATTGGCCTGTATTTTTAGAAGTGAGCACACCACCTCTGAGCCCACGTTAGCCAGCCGTAACTCCCACCCACGCGGTGCTGGCTGCCTGCCTGTACCTGACCCGCAGCAAACGCTACCGGCCAGCCTGGGTGACAACCTCAGGCCCCCAGGACGCCGCAGCGGGGAGAAGAGCCTGTCGCCGGCGATGGACGCCTGTCAGCCTCTTTCGGGGCGGACATTTTTTCCGCAAGCCCTCCGGCCAACAGTCCCGCACCTGCTTACGCACGGAGCGCTCTGAGGCGAGGGTCTGTCCTTTCCCGCCCGATCTGTGAGGCAGCTGGGCCGGGGGGGAAGGGGGCGGTGTGCTGAGGTGAGGCGCGGGGCCGTGGGGGGGGGCGAGGC